ACTAGCCAAAAGCGGAAAACTTCAAATACAAGCTTTCTCCCAAGTTTGAAGTTTCAAAACTTCAAACATCATGCCTGAGGCCTCCTGTGCCTACCACTATCAAGGCAGCCTATACTGGAATCATCTGACTCCATGTCTGTATGATTCATGAGAGCCAAGGTAAAATAAAACTTTAATCTCTGAGTCACTGGTCCCTAGCGCAGAGGCCTGGCTCTCTAGAGAGTCTAGGGAAGCTTTGCTGGTTGAATGAATGTACGTGTGGAGGTAAGCCCTGGGTCAAAAATCTAAGGTCCTCTAAGAACACAGGTCCCCAGCTCCGTTCTGAAAGGCTTGACTCAAAGCCTGCACTGAACCTGAGAACCAAATCTAAACTCTTCACTAGCCAGGAGAATTGGGGACTTTGTTTTCCCTTAATGACAGTAAGAAGAGAACCCAAACCGAAGCCCAGAATAAGAAGGGCTTTGATAAACTGGACAAATGCCCTGGGAAATGGCAATTCGAAGAACTTGCAGTCTCAATCACTCCCTTGTTTCATAATTTTCTTAGAATCTAAATATTTTTCTAGTTGGTACAAGGGGGCTTTCCTGGCCATCTCTTCAAAAGATAGCAAATTAATACTATTCGGTCTTGCGAGTATCCACTTAAGTTTAGATCATTTCCATCATTTCTTGTTTCAAAATCTCCCTAATAACAAGAACGCAGAGTAACAAGCTTTTTCTTATTTTTCTTTCATGAGGATAGGAGAAAACAGATTAGCTCTACCCTATTCACCCTGGTTATAACCATATCTAGGTGCAAAGAAATGGTACACAGTGTGAAGAATAAATCAATTCCTAGACACATTCTACAGGACTTTCCTAAGTTAGATCATAACAAGTTTAAAGGTCAAATAAAGGCAAAAACACTTTCAGTCTTAGTACCAAGCCATCATATGGCTCCTTGCAGTGAGCTGTGAAACTTCCCCACCAACATTAAAGCTTACAGTCAGGACTTACAGGAGAAAAAAAGAGAAAAGGACTACATTGTCAGGTAGATAAGAGACTAATGATTAACACAAGCATCATTATTATTTTTTTTTGAGTTGGAAGCTCACCGTGTTGCCCAGACTGGAGTGCAATGGTGCAATCTCTGCTCACTGCAAGCTCCACCTCCCCTGCTCAAGCAATCCCTGTGCCTCAGCTTCCCGAGTAGCCAGGACCGTAGGTGCGTGCCCCCACACCTGGCTAATTTTTTTGTATTTTTGGTAGAGACTGGGTTTCACCATGTTGCTAGGGCTGAATGACAAGGGTTCTTATACCCATCTCTGGAGGATATTGAGGGGTGGGTTTAAAGTCCTACCATGCTTGCTTTTTTTTTTTTTTTTTTTTTTTTTTTTTTTTTGAGACACAGTCTTGCTCTCTTGCTCAGGCTGAAGTGCAGTGGCATGACCTTGGCTCACTGCAACCTCCACCTCCCGGGCTCAAGTGATTCTCCTGCCTCGGCCTCCCGGTAGCTGGAACTACAAGCTTCCATCACCACCCCCAGCTAATTTTTGTATTTTTAGTAGGGATGGGGTTTCACTACGTTGACCAGGCTGGTCTCGATTTCTTGACCTCAGGTGATCTACCCTCTCAGCCTCCCACAGTGCTGGGATTACAGGCATGAGCCACCACACCGGACCACTAGCATGCTTTTTTTTTTTTGGTAATTTTATTTATTTATTTATTTACTGTGTATTTGGGCTCTGGGGTACATGTGCACAGCCTGCATCCTGCAAGATTGTTGCATAGGTACATAGATGTCATGATGGTTTGCTGTCTCCATCCCCACCCCAACACCCACCGTCACCTACATCAGGCATTTCTCCCGGTGTTATCCCTCCCCATCCTCCCCACCCCACCCCTCCCCGCCCCACCACCTAGCCCTGTGACTGTTGTTCCCTTCCCTGTGCCCAAGTGTTCTCATTGTTCATCACCCGCCTATGAGTAAGAACATGTGGTATTTGGTTTTCTGTTCTTGTGTTAGCCTGCTGAGAATGATGGTTTCTAGGTTCATCTATGTCTCTACAAAAGACATGAACTCATCCTTTTTTATGGCTGCATAGTACTCCATGGTGTATATGTGCCACATTTTTTTTGGTCCAGTCTATCACCGATGGGCATTTGGGTTGGTTCCAGGTCTCTGCTATCATAAACAGCGCCACAATGAACATGTGTGCATGTCTTTATGATAGAATGATTTATAAATTGTTCTACCATGCTTTTTAAAGAGCAAGAGAAACTAGCTTAACAGCTATTACATCCCCTTTCAATGCAAGAGTCTCTCACCAAAGATCCCCTCTGCCAGTGCAAGTGCCCCACGTTTACTTTCACCCCGGGATGGTTGTCAAGCCTAGCACTATCTCACTCTCGGCTTCAAATACTTCAAGAGGTCTACACTGTCCACGGAAGCGGAAGTAGAAACCATTACTGTGGCGTACAGGGTTCTTCAGTCTATAAACCTACACCCAAAAAGAATGTATTCTCTTCCCACACATCATATATTCTTGCCTAGGGATTCCTAGGGTAGGTTATTAGTAGGTCAATTAGGTTTGGATGTACAGAATTAAGCACAGTTCAGCAGGCTAACTTGCTCCTGGGCATTGTCGAGCTCCCAGAATTCCCCATGGAACGCCTCCATGGTCCAGGGCTGTGGAGAAGGCATTTTAGGGGATGCTACCCTCCAGACACTGCAAACTGCTTCTTCTCTAACGCGCCACCCTCTTTCATTCTTCCTTCTCTGTACATCTTGAAAGAATATCTGTTTCTGTTCTGTCTCCTCACTCTCATTCACCGCTCACCTCTCTGGGATCAGGCTGTGAATTCTAACACGCTGCAGAAACTGCAGTGCTCTGAATGTTGGCGTCTACCTTTTCTCGTGTCCCTTCACATTTGGAAAAGTACAACATGATGTTCGTTACTTATGAATGCATTTGTATTTGCATAAAAGTGGGCGGGAAGAAGATGTAATACACTCGTGAGGTGCTTGCCTTTGGGGACAGGAGGAACACCTTTTCCGGCGTCCCTTCGCCCTCTCCCAGCTCACTGCAAGGAGCTATAGGATGCTGAGGACTAAGAATGAGCGTGTCTTTGACTTTTGTGTCCCCTCACCTGTGTACTTGGTCCCTGTGTACCTGTACACACCCTTTCTCACACCTCTTGGCTTGGCTCACTTCTATGTCCATTTTTTTGTTCTTCTTTTGAAAATTGAAAACACAGAGAGAAGGGCAAAAATGCAGAATCAAAACCAAATACCTGAAATCCCATTCAGCAGAGGCGACAACCATTAGGCTATGCTGATGATGTCATGTGGTTAGGCTAATAATGTCACATTGGCTTCAAGGCTTTTCTTTTTAATAAAGGAACATAACAGGATAAAAAGGAAGGGTCCTGTATTTCTGCTGACAGCCCACTCCCACTCTGCCTCTTCCCCACAGAGCCAAGCATGTCACCAGTGCCCTGCATCTTCTTCTGGTCCGCTTTTACGCCTTTACACGCAAATGCATTCACAAGCAATGAAAATCATCTTGTACTTCACAAAAAACAACACAATCACATCATACAATAGGCATACTCCTCACCTTTCTTTTTCAACGCGTAAAATCTAATCAGTAAGATCTACCCACCCATGTTGGCACGCAATTCAACAATATCTGCCAGTGCTGATTAAACTGATCTATCAACACTGATCCTATGGCTTCTTCCGCCATCTCCAATTACTGAGAACTCAGCACCAGGTCTTGTCTCCAAGGGCTTCTTATTCGCTCCTCCCGGTGGCCCCCTGAGATGCCCCAAATGCCTTCAGTTGACACAGGGCAGGGACACATTCTCCAGGTCTGGCCCAGTCTAAGCCTGTGCCCTTAAATGCTGTGCTAAGCTGTCCCAGTTTTTTGTTTTGTGATTTTTTTTTCTTTTTTTAAATAAAAAAAATAGAGAGGGTCTCGCTATGTTGCCCAGGCTGGTCCCAAACTGCTGGCCTCAAGCAATCCTCTCACCTCGATTCCCAAAGTGTGGGGATGACAGGCATGAGCCACCACATCTGGCCAAGCTGCCCTGTGTCCATCAATAGCCCACTAAGCACTGTCCCTGCGCCAGATGTCTTGTACATATCATGTCTCTCAATTCCCGGAACCATGCACTTACTTATGTGTTAAGTACAATTACTATCCCCACTTTGGAGATAAGGAAATTGAGGCTGGGGCAGGTGCTGGAGGCTTAGTGTGAACCACAACTATACAGCTTCAGACTCCAAGTTTTTATCCATGGGGCTAAATGTCAGGTTCACTTGGAAAAAAAATCACAGTGGAAGACGAAATTAGAATGATGGGCCAGTGTGACCGGGCATGGTGGCTATAATCCCAGAATTTTTGGAGGC